GTCGGGACATATCTTCTATTTCTTCTTGAGAATACATCCTGCAGCGCTGTATGACGCTTGATGGTTTAGCGCTTAGTTATAGAATATCATGCTCTGTATGACCCTTGTGGGTTTAGCGCTTAATTTTGTGGTGTTCCTCGGAGATTTCTTGAAGTTTGCGAAGGACTTTTCATATAAGAAACTGGACCAATGCTTTAGTTCCCCGGATCAGGCCTGGATGTTATTCTCCGAGGAACAATCTACTATATGGGTTTAGTGTTCCTCCATGAATGTAATGATATATACTGAATCATTCTAGTGAAGCTCTTAATTGTACGAAATGAAACTCTTCTTTTTGATTATAATAATAATCCCACTTCTCAGACGCTTCATGACTCCTTCCCCCTCAAGGAAGGTTCCTTGATGTTGGTGAGGGGCTCTTGATTTAGGGAATTGGATCTGTGCTCCAGTTCCCCGAATTAAGCCTGAATGCCTTCCACATCCCCCCCCCCAGGCGCTGTATAATCCTCCGGGTTTAGCGCTTCCCCCTTGATTATAATAATAATAATTCATGACTCCTACAGGGTTAGCACTTCCTGCAAGTATACTGATGGTTTTATCTTATCCCGTCAAAGGTGGTTCCTCGATACTGGTTAGGGGCCTCTTGATCTAGGCCCCTCAAGGGAGGTTCCTTGATGCTGGTGAGAGGCTCTTGATCTTGGGGATTGGATCTGTGATCCAATTCCCTGTATTAAGCCTGAATATTTTCGATAACCCCCCAGGCTCTATAATCTACGGGTTTAGCGCTCCCCATGAGGCTTGAAAGTTGAAGCCTATCTTTAGTAACCCAGGTGTGTAATGTGTTTATAATAATATTTATTATATATATATTATATATATATATATATATATATTATAATATTATAATATTAATATATATATATATATATATATATATATATATATATATATATATATATGTGTGGTGTGAGTGGTGTGCTTGAATCTGCCAGGTGACATATTCCTAAGATGTGCACTTCATATATAACCCTATATGCACGATATGATTTAGATATTGTTTACAATAATTTAATACTAAACAAACACAATCAAATATATTTTTTTCGTTAGGTTCAGAATGATTTTGGCGAAATTATTGCATACACAAATTTTCACTTGTCCTATATGGCAAGATGAGCGTTGCTATTTAAGCCAAGATCGCAAGTTCTGCCTATTCGGCACGACTATATATATATATATATATATATATATAATATATATATATAATATATATATTATATATATATATATATATATATATATATATTATATATAATAATATTTTTTTTTTTTTTTCAACAAGTCGGCCGTCTTCCACCGAGGCAGGGTGACCCAAAGAGAAACAAAATCCCTCAAAAGGAAATACTTTCATCATCATTCAACACTTTCACCACACACACAATCACTGTTTTTGCAGAGGTACCCAGAATACAACAGCTTAGAAGTATATACGTATATAAATACACAATATATCTCTCGAAACTGCCAATATCCCAAACCCCTCCTTTAGAGTGCAGGCATTGCACTTCCCATTTCCAGGACTCGAGTCCGGTTATGTAAAATAACCGGTTTCCCTGAATCCCTTCACTAAATATTACCCTGCTCACACTCCAACAGATCGTCAGGTCCCAAATACCATTTGTCTCCATTCACTTCTAACAGGCTCACGCACGCTTGCTGGAAGTCCAAACCCCTCGCCCACAACTCCTTTACCCCCTCCCTCCAACCTTATCGAGGACGACCCCTACCCCCCCTTCCTTCCCCTACATAATCGCTGTATAACCCTTGTGGTTTAGCGCTTCTTTTTTATTATATTATTATTAATTATCCATCCCCTACAGATTTATGCGCTCTCCATGTCATTCTACTTTGATCCATTCTCTCTAAATGACCAAACCACCTAAACAAACCCTCTTCAGCTCTCTGACTAATACTTTTATTAACTCCACACCTCCTAATTTCCACACTCCGAATTTTCTGCATAATATATACACCACACATTGCCCTTAGACAATACATCTCCATTTCCTCCAACCGCCTCCTCGCTGCAGCATTTACAACCCAAGCTTCACATCCATATAAGAGTGTTGGTACCACTATATTTTCATACATTCCCTTCTTTGCCTCCATAGATATCATTTTTTGCCCCCACATATACCTCAATGCACCACTCATCTTTTTTCCTTCATCAGTTCTATGATTAACCTCATCCTTCATAAATCCATCCGCTGACACGTCAACTCCCAAATATCTGAAAACATTCACTTCTTCCATCTCCTCCCCAATTTGATATCCAATTTTTCTTTATCTAAATCATTTGATACTCTCATCACCTTACTCTTTTCTATGTTCACTTTCAACTTTCTACCTTTACATATATATATATATATATATATATATATATATATATATATATATATATATATATATAATATATATATATATATATATATATATATATATATATATATGTATATATATATATATATATATATATATATATATATATATATATATATATATATATATATATATATATATATATATATATCCTAGGTAGTAGGTTGGTAAACAGCAACCGCCCAGGGAGGTACTACCGTCCTGCCAAGTGAGTGTACAACGAAAACCTGTAATTGTTTTACATGATGGTAGGATTGCTGGTGTCTTTTATCTGTCTCATAAGCATGCAAGATTTCAGGTATGTCTTGCTACTTCTACTTGCACTTAGGTCACACTACACATACATGTACAAGCATATATATACACACCCCTCTAGGTATTCTTCTATTTTCTTTCTAGTTCTTGTTCTTGTTTATTTCCTCTTATCTCCATGGGGAAGTGGAACAGAATTCTTCCTCCGTAAGCCATGCGTGTTGTAAGAGGCGATTAAAATGCCGGGAGCAAGGAGCTAGTAACCTCTTCTCCCGTATAAATTACTAAATTTAAGAGAAACTTTCGTTTTTCTTTTTGGGCCACATATTAATATATAAATTAATATGGCGCATATATTAGAGGTATATTATGTAAGAAATTAATTCTGGGCTATAATTCCATCAGAAATAATTTTTGTAGCCTAGTCAAAAGATGCAATATATATATATATAATATATATATATATATATATATATATTTATATATATTATATATATATATATATATATATATATATATATATATATATATATATATATATATATATATATGTATAATATATATATATATATATATATATATATATATATATATATATATATATATATATATATATATATATATATATATATATAATATATATATTGCATTATTTGACTAGGCTACAAAAATTATTTCTGATGGAATTATAGCCCAGAATTAATTTCCTACATAATATACCTCTAATATATGCGCCATATTAATATGTAATTTTTTTTAACAAGTCGGCCGTCTCCCACCGAGGCAGGGTGACCCAAAAAAGAAAGAAAATCCCCAAAAAGAAAATACTTTCATCATTATTCAACACTAACGTCACTCACACATAATCACTGTTTTTGCGGAGGTGCTCAGAACACAACAGTTTAGAAGCATATACCTATAAAGATACACAAACATATCCCTCCAAACTGCTAATATCCCGAACCCCTCCTATGTAAATATGTAAATATGAGAATAAAAAACGAGCACTGCGTTAGGCCTACTGGCTATGCTAACCGGATATATATATATTAATATTTTGCAATATGCTTAGCATTCATCAAAATTAGTATATTAAGGCAGCGCTGAACGACCCATATGGGTTTAGCGCTTTAGTTATGATGGTAATAATATGAGGGAAGGCGGGATGTGGAGTCTGACTCCTAAACCCCCCCCCAAAAAAAATGTCAGAATTCTGCAAAATAATATATTAGTTGTATTATCAGGGACACGCGTTGTATTTTTTAATATTAAGCGCTAATAAATGCCTTATCTCCGAGCAACAGGCTGCCGTCCTAGTTAACCTTGTAGTAAATAGGTACCTGGGTGTTATCCTCCGTGCACCTGATGCTCTTGTTAGCCTCCATGCACCTGGTGAGGGGTTTTGGATCTAGGGAATTGGATCTGTGCTCCAGTTCCCTGAATTAAGCCTCAATACCTTCCATACCCCCACAGGTGCTATATAACCCTGCTGGTTTAGCGCTTCCCCGTAATTATAATAATAATCCATGGACCTGCCGTCCTTGTTACCTAGTATTAAACAGGTACCTGAGTGTTAGTCGGTGCACCTGCTGTCCTTGTTACCTAATAGTAAATAGGTACCTGTGTGTTAGCTTCCCTGCACCTACGGTAAACTCGTAAGAATCATATATACTTAGTTAATGGT